ATGCCACAGGACACTCCAGGGATAAAATAGTTTCACAGCTTAATGGCCACACTTCACGTCAATCTTATTCTCAAGGACTGAGATACTGTGGTACAATTTGTCTGATAACACCAGATCTATAATCAGAGACATGATATAACCAAGGTGAAGAGTTGAAAAGTAACAAATTAAATTGGCCTTCATTGCAATCACATGACATGAGAGGGCTACAGGAATAGTGATTCATAATGGGCAGAGATAAGACAGAACTCCAGTTACTCATGCATATAAAACAAATGGAGAGATAGAGGAAAAAAAATTAGCGTTAATAAAAAATGTAAAACTGACCAGAGATCAGCTTCCTATTTTCCTGCACACCAGGGGCACCAGAAGGCCACCTGCTAAGGTGAAGACAATTCAAGTCCAGACAAGAGCAAAAAAAAATGATTAAAGGTCTAAAAACAGTGACCTATGAGGGAAGAATGAAGAGAAACCAGCTTGGTCTGGAGAAGACAAGACTGAAGGGGGTCATGATAATTTTTAGAGTGCATAAAAGGTTTTTACAAGGAGGAAAGAGGAAAAATTGTTCTCTAACTCTGAGGCTAGGACAAGAAACAATTGGCTTAAAGTGAAGCAAATCTCCTAGCTATCAGGGTGGTTAAGCACTGGAATAAATTGCCTAAAGAGGTTGTGGACTCTCCATTACTGGAGATTTTGAAGAGGAGGTTAGACGAATACCTGTCAGGGATGGTCAAGAAAATACTTTGTTTTGGCAAGAGAGTAGGGGACTGGACTAAACAACCTCTCGTGGTCCCTTTCAGTTCTATGATTATCCAAAACCCAGTCAATTACTGGTCTTGAATGAGACTAGGGCTTTATAGCGAGATTCTGCAGATAGCTCATTAAACTGAAAATAGCAGCTTGGGGGTGGGAGGGGAATGACTATCCAGTGTGTTACTTTTTCACTGCTTGAGGGGACTGCATCAGAAATGTGTGCATCCTTGTAGCAAGTATCAGAGGGGTAGCTGTGTTAGTCTGAATCTGCAAAAGCGACGAGGACTCCTCGTCATTCTTGTAGCAGTAATAAAACAATTGCTTTTGTACCCATCATTCTAAAAAAGCTTCACAGAGGCAGGCAAGTATCATTATCCCTGTTTTACCGATAGGGAAACGAAGACACAGAAGTTCAATGATTTGTCCAACGCTCCCAGCAGAGCCAGGAATAAGGACAGAGAGTAGCACAAATACAAGGAGTAATACACACACGGAACAGGATTGACATACCCACTCACAGGTTCAAGCTGTCTATTCATTACATATCTTACCCACTAAACCCTACTGCTTTCTCTTGGGTGCCGAGAGAGCCAAATATTCAAAATCTCTAATCCTGGCTCTGGACAAAGTCCTGATAGTCTTGTGCAAATCATTTAGCTCTGCCTCAGTTTCCCCAAGTTTAGAGGTTAAGAAATTCTTTCTTCATGCCTCCCAGAAGCAAGTAAAAGTGAATGGTTATAAAGCACTAGAAGTGGGCTAGTCATTATGATCATTAAAGACTGATCATGTCTAGCTACGTATTTCATGGTCTCTATATATGAAGATATTACAGTGCATCATCCCTATGGCATCTGGACTTCATAGCGTGTTTTGAGTAGAACGGGCATATAAAATAAACACTTTTGATGCTGCATTTTATATAGATTCTACTTCTGAATTCAGACTGTTTTTCCTGTGCTGTCCTCTCTGTCTCCTTTCTCTCCAGCTCCCCTGCATGTATGTACTTTCGGTCTGTGCCTTCCTAATGTTCTATGGGGTGGCACCTTTCTGCAGAATCATAAAAGTGTAGGGCTGGAAGGGAGGTCATCTGGTCTAGCCCCCTGTGCTGAAGCAGGACCGAGTATACCTGGAATATTCCTGACTGGTGTTTGTCCAACCTATTCTTAAAGAACAACAGGAATTTCACAACCTCCTTTGGAAACCTATTCCAGTGCTCAGCTACCCTCATGGTTAAGTTTTCCCCTAACAGCCTCCAAGCAGGGGAGTGCTCATCCCCCTGGTTCTTGCGCAGCTGCAGGAAGCAGGGGGATGAGTGCTCTCCCGCCCGGAGGCTGTGCAGGAACCGGGGTGGTGAGTGCCCACAGGAACCGGGGCATATAGGCTGGCTAATTCTCCCCGCCCCCCACGGCTCTGTAAATTAGCTAATATACCCTGGCACAGTTTGAAAGACAAGTCTTGTATACCCTGCGGGTTATACAAGATTTTTTTTACTCCGTTCGGAAAAACTGTGTGGTATATTTGCTAAAATAAAGTACTAACAAATAGCCAGCTCAGTCATTGGATTTGATTTTTCCTTCCTAAGTAAAGCACTTTGCACTTGTCTTTATTGAATTTCACCTTCTAGATTTCAGCCCAGTTCTCCAATTTGTCAAGGTTGTTTTGCATTCTAATCCTGTTCTCTCAAGGGCTTGCAACCCCCTCTCAGCTTGGTCAATCCTCACCACTCCATTCTCCAACTCACTCATGAAAATATTGACTAGGACCAGACAGGACAGAATGCTTGTGGACCCCCTCACAAAAATCCAGTTTGACACCCACCCACTGATAATTCCTCTGCGTATGGTCATTCAGCCAATTGTGCACTGCTATCATAGCCATTTCATCTAGAATGCATTCCCCTCGTTTGCTTATGAAATGTCACGTGGGTCTGACATTCGCTTTATTAAAACAAAAAACAAAACAAAAAATCTAGGTAGGGCATGTCTACCGCTTCCCTCCTCCCCATCTGATAACCATGTCACAGAAGGAAATAAGGTTGGTTTGGCATGATCTGTTACTCGTGTTTGACATATCCATTGTGTCTATTTCTTATCCTATTAGCCTCTAGGTCAGGGCTGGACAAAACACGGCTGGCGGGTTGGATCCAGCCCAAGCTGCTGGAGCCGGCCCTCGGACACAGTGGGGAGGCTCCCTGCTTGCCCCACACCCTGCTCAGAAAATCAGCTGCTGGGCCGTTTCCCCTTTACAGCTGTGAACCCAGGGGAGGGGAGAGTGGTGCTTCACACGCTGCGCCCACCCCCAGCAAAATCCAATTGGCCAGTTTCTGGCCAATAGGAGCTGCCTGTTTGAAGAAGAGGGGGCACGCAAATCACCCCTCCTGCTCCTCTCAGGCTCTTATTCACAGATGCACATGGTCCCTGCAGCCTGCTGTTTGGGAGTCACACAGGTAAGTCTCCCAGCCAGAGCCTGACTCTCTCATCCCAGCCCCTCCCATCCTACATAACCCAAACCTTCTGCCTCCTCTGAAGCCATGCCCCATCCCAGATTCTGCTCTTCTTTCCTACACCTTTCCCTCATCTTTCTCTTCTTCCTAATGAATTTATAACTGCATTTCAATTCTTTATCATTCAAATTTATAAGCAGTTATAGCAGTTTCTTATTGCCTTCTATGTCCCTACATAGAAACTAGGAAGCTGTAACTCATTTTGTGCCTCGGACTTGCTGATTGTGTCACTCCACGCTGGTGCGATTCCGGTGTACTCATCCTCAGCAACCTGCCTACTGCTGCTCTTTTTAAATAGATTCCTTTTTGATTTTCAAGTCCTTCAAGAGTTCCTGATGGAGCCATATTGGCCTCTTAGAATTTTCTCTTTCCTTCGCACTGGGATGGGTGGCCGACTGTTGCACCTCACTACTGTTTCTGAGCAACTGCCCCCTTTCCTGAACTCCTCTGAGCGTCTTTCTGCTTCATGCTGAGCTCATCGCCAAACAGGCTGGGCTAGGACGGCAACGGTGTGTAAGGCCTGAATTCTAATCCTGATTCCAACACTCGCTGTGGTGCTTTGAGGAAACCACTTGAACTCTGGCTTCAGTTTCCCAAGCCAACTCTGGGAGCACTGGAAGGCTACACTCCCCCAGCCTTCGAGATGCATTTTGAAATCCTCAGATGAAAAGTGCTAAATATCATAGTCACAGAATGCAACTCCCTCTCTGTCCACACACAGAGGCGCAGGTAACATAGGCAAAGGAAGGCATTGCCTTCCCAAACTGCCTCACCTGTCCCCACCCACCAGAGTCTCCTAGGCCCCTCCCCTAGCCTGCTATTAGTGCCACAGAGGGCTGGTAACTTGGCTGATGGCGGGGAAAAGGCCTTACCTCCCCATCCCCACTCAAGCCATGGAGTCACCCGCCGCCCGGACACGCACACCGCTTCTATGGTACAGAAAGCCATGAGTTACATCCAATTATCCCAGCCTTTTCAGAGTTACCTGCATGTGGTCATTCAGAGCAGAACATGGGCTGGAATTTAAAAAGCCACCCTGTTCTATTTAAAACACTACATCCCCTCCATTAGAGGATGATCTTTTCCACTCACCTGTCCAATCTAATTTTTTTCCTAGCACTGGCTTCTCTGTGCCGTCTCTCTCCGTCCTGTGAAACAGAAACACATTTGTGAGGTTAAAGTTTTGGAAAAATAATCAATACATTGACTGGAAAAGAGATTCCTTTGCATTAAGGAAGCATCTGCAGGAACAACCTCCCAGTATCTGCTGATCTTGGCAACAGCAAGAAACTCATGGATCGTGAATGGACACTCAACCCTGGCCTTGTCCACAACTGGCTGTTAAGTTTGTTCTTGGTTAGCTCTCACCAGGGCTGCAGTTTGCACATGTAGAAGGGCAGGCGAATACAAAAAGGGAATGCACATCAGATCAGAATTTATTTACAAATATGACCTTCAACCTGAGCTTGAATAAAGATATTAACTGGTTGACATACTACAGAGCCAATTTCCCCTACCTTTGACATTCACATTTTCACATGAAAAGCTATGTCTTCAGTATCTTGTCCCCACCAGCAGCCAAGACAGGGGCTTGGTTTGTTGTTGTTTTTGCAGCATCGATAGAACCTCCCAACTGTGTCTGTGCAACCAGGCTGGCTAATTCTGCCACCCAGCTTGCCTCACAGCAGGCCACCCCAGCATGCATTGCCTGGCAAGCTGCTGGCGCTACGCTGTACACATGCCTCTGGGAATTCTACCACCTGAGGAGTCAGAATAAAAGCGTTTATCTGGGTTTTTTCCAGAGCACACAGCTGCAGCACTGCTGTGCAGTGTGGTAGAAGCGGATGCCTAACAGAGAGGATACATTTGAGCTGGGGGAGGAAATGGACAGGTCACGTTTGGTGTCACCAGGACACCTGTGTCCCTCCCTCCCCACACCAGATTGGTTACAGAAGTAGACCGGGCCTCCGGCTGAAGGCACATTAGCATCCTCTGGTTTTCCAAAGTGCAGATACAGCACCAATTGATTTATAATGAACATTTCCGTTCTGCTGCCATTTGCATTAACATTCGAGTCACCCTACTGAGTTCACAAGAACTTTCAAACATACAAGTCAGATTCCATGTTTTGTATAAATCCACCACGTGTTACTGAAAAGTTCATGGACTCAGCACTGCGCGGTATTTGAGTCCTCCTGCTTCAGAGCCAACGGGAGATTTTCTTACACCCCCTTGAATTCCCTCAACCCCGTCCCATCAGTCAACTAGTTATGTGCAGTGCTGCCAGTTTAGTTGTTTTCCAACCCCCCTCCCCATATATTCAAACACCCCCATTTAATTTCAATTTCTGGGGAGGGGGGAGAATATTAAATTTCAAAAGCCAACGTTTTGCAGACGTTAATGGACTTGGCTATGCATGGAACAAAGAATGATATAAACACATTAAAACCAGGAAGCATTGAATTCCATCAGAATAAAGCAAGCAGGAAAGGAAGGGGGAGAAGCGGTTTGTCAAACAAAGTGGAGAAACTGATATTTTCCCTTCCAAAGAGAAAATTACAAAGAGAATGTTTTAAAAAAAAATGTTTTAGAAGTACATGAGCATACCCCATGTTCCTAGAGGACTTCAGTGATGAAAAACTGATGAACTAAATCAAAGTGTCTCTTTAAAAGCACGTGAAAGTTGCAGGCCTGGTTATATTTCTAGTGCTTTGCTAACAGGTAAACTTACTTCACTGTACAAGTTGTTTACCAATGCCCCAATCCTGGAAATATGTGTTTAAAGCCAGTGCATGAAGCTCCTCTTGATTTCAGTGAGCACAAGATCAGGCAATGGGACCGTATTTAAAGCCCTGCAAACCTGTATTTGATTTGAAAACCATGTTTTCAGATCGCGGAACAGATCCACACAGAGCTCTAGCCATATTTTCAACTGGGTATGTAGGTACCCAGAGATGTAGATAATGGGATTTTAATAGCACCTATGTGCCTAACTCCCATTGAAATCAAATACTTTTAAAAATCTGTCCCTCGAAGTGTAAGTGCTGAGAATCAGGCCTGAAGTCTTCAAACCTCTTTGCCTTCAGTTAGTCCTAAGAAGACAGTCCTAAGATAGATGTGAGCTGTAAAATTTTTTTCCAGATTTAAACACTTGAAAGCCTGGAAAGTGTTTCTAAGTTAAATTATCCTGAATTCTTAGGAGTAAATATTTTAGTATTTTCAAAAAAAATTCCCTATTTAAGAAAACAAAATGCGCACATCTGGGTCTCTCAGAATTCTCACGCTCGCAAGATTCCAGAAAGGGAATCCTCTCTTCTACAGAGTTTTTAACACTACCAACATGGAAAATCTGGGGTATTTTTAGCATTAGTTACAAAACTGACTTTTCAAACATTTCAAGGACCATTTACTGGCTGAAGAGAATGGCAAGCCTGCATGTGCAATAGATAGCACGTCAGACCTGCTCATTTGCATGGTCCTGTCTGTCTGTCTATCTATCTATCTTTGGCCCGTGAGGTTAAGTTCCTATGCTATTACAGATCATTGAAATTCTCCTTTTATCCAGGAGAAGGGATGGAAGTTCCTGAATCCCATGCAGCTAATGTATGTAGAATAAATGTTGACTGATAACCATACTGCCACAGTAATTAGGAGAGAACTTCTTTGCTGCGCCTCCTACTAAAATTTACCCTATGGTCCAGAGATGCTCATGCTAGCCCTCCTTTTGTGATGTGCCCACCAGCATACTGCTATTACATTCACCCTATCGCACAATTTGATTTCTATCATATCAAGCTACATTTCTTTTGCAGTGACTCAGAGAAATGCAATACAATTAAATATTGTCAAGGTTGGGCAAAACAAGATTCCACAGATTCTTATATCACTGCGTAAGACCACAGATGTGGGCAAGGTCACTTTCTAGGCCCTGAGTACAGTTTCCGTTCTTACCCCAGCTTCTGGTTTCACCATCGGAAGGGTAATGGGTTGACCTTCTTGATCTAAGACAACAAAGGTCATAAAGGCACTGTTGATATGTCTTCGACTAACTTCCATTTCTTGTCGATAGGCCTCGACACAAACACCAACCTCCATGCTGGAAAGAAAGAACGAAAGCATATCATCTCTTGGAGTCTGGGGTGTAAAGCAAGGCAACTGCCTAGCCAAAGGATCCAGTATGCCATACCTTTCAGTGCTTTGAAACAGGAGCTTTGAAGTGGACCTACTAGATCAGTCCTGCTCAATATATACAATATGAAAAAGACTGACTTGTGTGCAACTTTTCAAATCTTGATCTAAGTGTTCAAATAAAATTGAAATGTTACCAGAAAAAGGGAACTCTTTGCAATGGAATCTGAAATTTTCCCCTCCAGAGTGTTTTTTTTTCTTTTTTTTTTTTTAAACTAAATCTGGTCATCTGGACGGGATGCATCACTCTATTATGTCAAGCATATTTTAGTACAGACTCCTACCCAGCTCCGAGGGGTTTTAATGCATGTTGCAAGTACTTTGTCCGAGAGCAGATCTAGGGCCTAAAAGTCAATTTCAGGAATTCACTGCTTCTCATGTGAGAAGTAAGGAGTTTCATTTTAAAAACCCACACACAAAACATCTATTTGTTCCTGCCTGACGCTTAAATCCAACTTATGTTGGAAGTAGAATAAAAAGTACACAAAGATAGGCAGTGATTGGCTGCAATAGACTAGATGATTTAACAGGTCTTTTCTAGCTTTTATTTCTATTGCTTTATCGATCGTGAATTTATTTTTATTTGAATCCATTTACAACTATTTGAGTAATTCAGATTTATTCTCAGAACAATCTACAGCCCAAACGTCTGAATCAACCTGATTTTACAGTCCGTAATGTATTCAGTAATTCAAGGAGAAAACACTGCTCTGCCTATCTGTTAACACAGCTGATCCCTTCATGTAGAACCAGATATTGAACTCATTTTACAAAAGATATTGAACACCCACAAGTCCTCCCTGTTCAATTATTTTTTGTGTGTGTTAATCCAGCAGCCGATAATTTGCACAGTTTCGTTTTCAAGTAACAAAAGTACAAGCTTCTGTTGAACTTTTGTATCAAAACCCATTCAAATCCGGAACCCTAGGAGTACCTGTTTTTGAATGCATTGTTCACAATCGATTTTAACAGGAGGCGGTCCCCGACTTGCGATGGTCCCCTGAAATGGAACATTTCAATGGTCTTCAGAGTGGGGTGGGCGTGACACAGCCGGCTGTGGGATGGGAGAGAGATTTGATTTGCAAAATGCACTCAAAAATGAGGAAGCGATGTAGCCACACCAACATATCAACCAGCGTGCTGATGCTGGACAGAGCAGCAGACCTGTACAAGTGTTTGAGCATGAAAGAGAACCCACTCACACCAGAGAGCCCTGACAACAGGGCAGGAAGCCAACTCTTGCCAAGTGACACAGGTATATGCAGCCACTCCAAGCAAATACTTTGTCATGGAGATAGCTGGGCCAGCACCACAGTCCCCAGCAACCCACAGGCAGTCTTAAATATTTGGGCTGATCTGCTGCCCTTAGGAAGGTGACCATGGAGGTTTGTATTCCCCCATGAACACAGCTTTCACCTCAGCCATAAGCCTCTTCCCTGATACCCCATCTCGTGACTCATCATTCTCCAAGCTCAGAGGGTCACTCTTGCAGAGAGAAGCACCCCTTCGGCGGGGAATGACAGGGACCACACTGCATTTCCCATGAGGCAGGGCAAAACCCTGCCAATAAGCCACCACCAGCAGATCAGCGCATTACAAGCCGGTTGCTGTAGCCAGATCATTGGTTATATCCCCTCCCCCTTCCTCTCCAAGGGACACAAGCTCCTTGCCTCCCCCTTCGTCACTACAGCTAGAGAGAAAGCAGCCTGGTTTAAAAAGAAGTCATACAAAGAACAGTGTCCTTCACAGTGCACCTTCCTCCTGCTACCGCACTGCAGTGTTAGCATCTGGTAGGCGCCCAAACGATGGCGTGGGACGTGGGCCCACATTTATTTTGGCAGAGACGCAAGAATGCAACAGCCAGAGACAGTCCTGTGATCGTGACAGCCAACCCAAGTCTGCCAGGAGCTCTACAGATCTTTTATGATTAAAATAATTGGGAATGGAAGGGGAAGGGGGAGGGAGAGAAATCCGCTCTGAATCGCTACCGGCGCCCTTCAAGCATAGCTGTTCGGGGGGTGTAGCTCCCATTCCACTTTAAAAATCACAATAGGGAGGACTCCTTGTTCAGCACGAGTCAACCTGAGAACTCAAAGTTAGCCTCCAAAAGATCCAAAAGCTGAACACAGAATGGTAGATGGTGAAAAAAGAGATAACATTTAACTCCCTCCGTACCTTCCTCCCCATGGCATGACACAGGAATCAGAATACCCACAACTAATGCATACAGAGCACCATCTAATGGACAAATGCTCATTTATCTAGGACAAAACACATCAGAGCAGGACATCCTTCAAGGTTCACAGTAAATATGGCCCAGTTCTCATAAAGCTCGTTTCATCCGTCACTCTCACGGCTCTTTACAACGGTGGTAATCATTGTTGGATCCTTTCTACAGGCCGGGAACCAGAGGGGCAGAGTGATGTACTCATGTACCATTGTGTTCCTGGAAACGCACTAGAAATTGGGCCCTGGTCACAACATAGCACCAGTGTTCCCGGTAAGCTGTGTGCTCGTGCGACCACTCAGGAGAGATTCCAATGCTGCCCAGCTGATTAGCAGAGCGCTCACAACTGGGCTGGGTTTTTCTACTGGTGGTACACATAAAATGTATTCCACACATGGATGGAAAAAAATCTGCACAGGAATAGAAAAGATTAGAGGGAACGTTGCATGGCACCCAACTCTGTATTTGTACAGGAACAAACACGCTGTCTGGTTTGGCATGAGAGCTGCTTCTGAACACACGGAGAGTCTCCTCAGAGGGGAAACGCAATGCTACAGTCAGGCTTAGGGTGTTGTGCATCTCCCCAGAAGGAAGATGCACATGAGCCTACATAGCCTGTCAAGGGGCTAAGCGGATTCTGTGTGATCTTTTTTGACGGTGTGATCCCAACTTGCATGGAGCAAGACTAATGGGATGCAGAGACTTTGCCTCTCAAACCTTATCCACTGGACCAGACACACGTTACAGCCTGGTAGGGTAATGCCACTGTGACAGGAATTTGTCCCACCAGGCAACCTCCAAGATGGCATCCCTGCATCGGGCAGGCTGGCTCCCCATGAGTAGTGCTAGGGTGCAGAATCGGCAGCATGGAAAGGGCAGTTTGAGTCCACCCCATCTCAGGCTGTTAGGCAGAGAGGAGACCCATAGAGTTATGTTGCTCGGAAAAGCGCACCTCAGTGGTGGCATTTTTCCCTCCTAGTCAATGCCAAATCCATGCCCACCCAGGGGGCTGGAGTGGTAGGCTAATCTTTTCCCTCCATGGACACTTTTTTTTTCCCATCCACATGCAGAATAAAGTCTTTTGTGCTTTGAGGCAGGCGCAAATGTGCACCACCAGCAGAAACAAAACTTTAGCCGTGGGCTCTCTGCTAATCAGCTGGGCAGCACTGGAATCTCTGTTGAGTGGCCACACAAGCACTCAGTTCACAGGGAACATTGGTGGTGGGCTATTGTAGGCTCAGTGGCGTGACTGAAAAGCAAACACGGGGTCTTGATCACAGCAAAGGTCAGAGGGATTTTTCTTGGCAGGAACAGAGGAACAAAGCCCTCGAGACTGGGGCAGATTATTACCGGCCACCACCCTCCCCATGTCACTTCAACTGCTCGGTATTCTTCCTCCTTAACCACTGTACTGTCATGTGGGGCCTCGCTACAGGAATAGGCAGTGAAGGAGCAAAAGAGGCCCAGCACATGCAAGTGCGACAAATGCATCTCCAGATTTGGGGTGGGGACGCTCAGAACTGCACCTTGCTGCTATGGTGGCAACGATTTCCATCCAGGCCATGATCTGGCCTCCGAAGGTGTTTCCCTGATGATTGGCATGAGGGGGTAGCACCAGTTCCACACTCTCCACCCTGGTTTTCCCAGCAGGCACCACCGTGTTGCATTCCCCGTTCTCACGCTCTGCCATGAAAGAAACACACATCGATCAGAGTGGCCAGAGTGGCGTATGGAAAGGCTTCACCTCTCGGAGCGGATGTTCATTGCACAAGCAATTGCTCAATGACCTGCTACAAAAACAAAGACACACACACCCCCACACATCCCCACCCACCCTGCTCTCATCCACCACCATGCCGCTGCCCCCTTCCAGCCCAGGGGACCGTCCACTGCCTCGCTGACTGCAGTCCTCCATTACACCTGCACCCCGGTCACCAGCCAACCAAGTGAGACCAACCGAGGAGGCTTGCAGAGCCTGTCGCGGCTCAGCGGAGGACAGCGTTCACTAGGGAGCAATGCAAGGCGATTGGGTGCCTTCTCCTCAGCAAACTCCATCCATGAAAGCCTATGCCACCGGAGAGCAGGGATCTGGTCCAGCTAGTCTCTGTGGCTTTGCAGACACCCCCTCTCACACCTCTCCAAAGCATTTTGCACAGATAGCACCTTCCCCCGAGAGGAACTCAAAGCGTCCTGCAGATAACATATTGCCTCACAGTTTTGGTGAAGCAAATATCTCTATAGAGGCAGAGAGGTTCAGCACTGCCTGGTGTCCAAGTTTGGGCAAAGACAGAAACAGTACCCCGAGTTCCAGTCCTGAGCAGGGGACACGGCACCGAGATAGCACAAAAAAGGGGTGCTTTTATACAAGCAATAATCCTAGGTATGAGGCAGCGAATCACGGGGAGCGTATTTTGGGTAGCCAGCAAAGCTCCCTACATGCTGAGCACTTGAGCAGCCACCTAGCAGAGATTCAAATACCGCGCTGCTATTTAGCAGCATGCCCACAGCCGCCAGCATGTGTTTCTCCTGGTGGTGCACATCTTCACATGCATTGGTGTACATAACAAATTTTATTCCACGCACAGATGGAAAAAGTTAGAGGGAACATTAGTGGCCAGAACCTCATAGTGGAGGCCAGGTTTATAGGATACAGATTAGAAGCAGAGTCTAGAGAACAGCACAGGACTGGGAGCTGGGAAATTCTGTCTTAACTCCCACTCTGCCAGCAACTCATTGTGTGACCCTGGCAAAGTCACTGTGTCTGCCTCCATTTCTCCCATCTGTAAAACAGGGAGAGTATTTACTTACCTACCTGGCAGGGATACAGTGAGGGATAATTAATGCTAGTGCAGCACTGTGAGGATTGTCACTCTGTAACCGGACACCAAGTTGGGGAATTGTTTTTCTGAACATGGACATGAGCGACTGTTTTCCGACATCAGCTCCAGGTTGCCAGGAGCGCGCCAGGGACAGGGTCTACATGTGTTTTTGATCAGGAGCAGGGGCCGCAGGGCAGCTCACCAGTCTGCAAGGGGCTGCTTGTGAGGAGATCTTTGAGGGTGTCGGTGTGGGCCAGGCGCATGCGGCGGCGCTCCGCAGCAATGCTGTGTTCCATCTTCTCCTCCTCGGTCTGAGGAGCCAGCGGCTTCAGCTTCATCTACATGCAAGGAGAGAACAGAGTCAACGTCAGCTCGATTCTCAGGGCTAGCGTTTGGCTCTTTCCCAGGCTCCAAGCTGGTCCCAGGGGGATGCATCTCAATGATTAAAGGGGACATCAAGGAGCGAGGATGTTCCTTTTTATCTGCAGGACTTTTGTACTCTGCCATTTCCAATGATAAATGCCAATGCTCTGTGCGAATGGGGAAAACTATTGGTTGTGCTGCTTCTCTACAGGACATGGATCAGTGGCAAGTCGAGTCTCAAGTCACTACAGTTCAAGTCTCAACTCAAGTCTTGAGTCCCTAAAGTCACTTTCGAGTCAAGTCCCAAGTTGAGTCTCAAGTCTCAATTTAAAAAATGTCAAGTCACTTTTGTACGAGCCATCAATATCTGCATTTTTGGACAATTTTTTCACCAAGTCGATTTAACAAAATTAGAAAGTCTCACGTCGAGTCTCAAGTCACAAACAATGAACCCGAGTCGAGTCTCAAGTCGAGTCACCTAGGCAACTTAAGTCGGACTCAAGTTCAAGTCGTGGGACTCGAGTCAACAACTCTGGTTCCGACAACCTTGTGGCCCACTCACTAGCCTAGAGTTGCCCATTCCTGACATAGACCCTCCTTGTGCCTTCTACCCAAACAATCCTAAAGCCCTTTATTCGCCTCACAAAGGAGGAGTCCTTTGCATCCAAAGCCCCTTCTCTCACAAAGCACTCTACCAACACAAATTACTCTTTGCTTTACATTAGCAGACTTCAGTGGAGATCAGGACCTCCCGACATCAAGCCACATGCAACAAAAAACTAAAGTCCTTTGGGGCAAGGACTATCACAGATCACATGACAAAGGGAAACGGAAACACAGAAATGGAAGTGACTAGGCCTCACATAGCAGGTCAGAAGTAGAGCTGTGCATGGAACCCAGGTGTTCTCACCAGGTGGACAAAGTCCATTTATCTGAGGTAGGCAAGTATTTGCCTGATTTTAGAGAGACGGAAACTGGCACAAAAGGTGAAAGAAAGGGAAGTGACTTGCCCACAGTTAGAAGGAAGCTTGTGAGAGCCATGAATAGATTACGGTTCTCCTGCCCCCCAGCAACCATGTCATGCTTCTTCCACAAAAATCACTCCAGCCACTCAGCTTAATCTGGACCCTCTGTGCTATTTTTTAAAATTTAAATGCAGGCTTGTTTATTAAAAAACAGGCCTATATAATAATGAATCGACAGCCTCAATTCAAATGCTACCCAGCTGATGCGAAGCCCTAAATTTGCTATAAATTGATACAGCTATTTTAAATGAAGTACAAAATCCATAAAGCAGTATAGGTTTGCTACCAAGTTTTGAAGAAACTCAGCCCAGTGAACTGGCCGATGTCAGCAGCTAAGCACCTGCAGCCAGAGTTTGCAGAGGTGCTAAGCTAGATTTGCACAGCTGCAACCGCTTCCGCAGGTACACAAAGAATAGTCTCTTTATTTCAGTTTATTCAGTTCAGCAACCAGTTTGTTCAAAGATAAGAAGCTAGCTGAGAGTTTTAAAAACACACACACACAAACACACACACACACACCCCCCCAAGCTCTCCTGCCTTTTCAACACTAAAACATTGGTGTGAAAGGATGAGGTATGCTAGACATGGTGACTGAAACAATCTGTTCAGTTTGCCAACAATGACCAGTTTATCATCTAAGCTATTTAATACAATTGATTTTAAATGAAAAACATGTTCTGAAACTTTTTAAAGTATCCAACATACTCAATGCAGATTTATTTAATAAGTACAATGAAATTTTATTTTTGTGAGGTTTTAATTGAATTAGAGTTTTCATCCAAATACAGCTTTACATATAAACTGCAAGCAAAAATCTATGTAAATAAAAAAAATACAAATCACCCTTTTCTAACATAAAAAATGTAAAAAAAAATTGGAATAAATTTAAGTTAAGCCATCTAATCTATCTATATATCTTAGAAACATGCATCTATTTGACTGCTCATCTGTTTCTTCATGAGCTAAGACAACCAAATCTGATAGGCAGCTTTCTCTTATCCTAACTTAAAGCAAGGTCAGGGCTTGGTTGTGCAAAAAAGGGGACAGGAAGTGCCAGGAATGGGACTGGTTTCCATAACATGGAAAAGGAGGGGCACAGAAAGGAGGGATGCGATATTGAGAGTCTCTTACAAGACTGATGAGAAAAATCGGTTAGCACAAGAAACACTCAGCTTAAAAAATTTTTTTTTTTAAAAATCAGTAAATGACAAGGAATGCCATTTATGTCTTGATGTTTTTAAAGCTACCTACCAACCCTTTGAAAAATCTAGTCCCTGCAAAGAAGAGAACCAGTTAGGCAGGCAGCTAACCAAAACACAGTTATGAACACAAATGTTCAACAAACCGTGCAATACAGATTAAGTTATTATTTCACACTGGCGCTGTGGTAGCCCTCTGAGTCCAGTTAAATCAGGGCCCTCACACAGTCAATACAAAATGGCCCACTGTCATATACCAAAGTACTATGAAAAATGCTATCGAAATACAACTAAGAATTACTTTGTGTCAGACCTAAGAGTTCCATCCGTGGTGTCTAGGGATGTGAATGGTTAACCAGTAACCACCACCTTTAATAGATGATGCTTACTGGTTACAGTTAAACCAATGAGGGCTGAGCCCCCCCAGCCATGGCGAGCAGTGGGCTGTTTCAGCCCCACAGGCCTGCCATGGCAGGGGAGCCCCTCCAGCCAATCCACTGCGGGCGGGGGTGCCCCCCCCTCCCGCCACCCACTTCATGTTTAATCAGTTAACTAAACAAACAGGATTTTACATCCCTAGTGGTATCACGTCAAATATAATATTCACTCTTTTTTTATTAACTGATTTTATGGGCCTAATCGAGTGCCCTTCAACACACCCGATGTCTTTCCAGCACATGTTACATCAGATCCAAAAGTAGGTACATGTCAATGTCAAGAACCTACAGGTAAAAATTACACCGGCTGGAGTTCTTCAGGATCTGTTCCTACCTTGCAAGTTCCTTTGCCTTGGGCAACAAAAGTAGCATAGGCCTTACACACATTCCACTGCTTCCCACTGCTCAGATCTTCATAGCAGACCTGTATGCCAACCTGGAAGGGATCACAATAGAAAGGCATTGAAGAGAATGCAATAGAGGGGGCTCAAACTGAACAAGTTTCTTCTATTTCTATAGAGAGGAGGTTTGAACAACCTGAGTGGCACCACACGAGAAGAAAGTCTGAGGGCGTGTCTTTACTACATGGAAAATCACTGCTGCTGCAATCGATCTTCCGGAGTTCGATTTAGCTAGTCTAGTTAAGACTCACTAAATGGAAGTCAGAGGGTACCCCTGTTGGCAACCGGTACTCCTGCTCTTGAAAGGAATAAGGGAAACTGACAGGAGCATTTACTCTCATTGGCCACCCGCTGTGGGGACACAGCCAAGCTTGGCTTAAGGTAAGCAGACTCCAGCTATGTATTCAATGTAGCTGGAGTTGCATACCTTAAGCCGAACTGCTGGGTCTATGCAGACCTGGCCTAAAGATTTGAATTATTTGGGAGAGCAAGAGGTTGTGTTTGTATGCTAGCTTTACACACCGTCCTAGTGTTTGGGCCCAGTTTATCAACTGATCATTTTGATTCCCTTTAATGGGAACAATGCAAGAACTGTATTACAGGTTACACTTCATTACAGATTACATGGCTTTCTAGTAAACAGATCACATGGCTAGTTCCCTAGGGTGTCAACACTTGCACCCTCTTTTGAGAGAGGGACGCAAATGAAGACATTCAAAATTGCAAATGAAGCTGGGATGTACATATCCCGCGCTTCATTTTCATATTTGTGTTATGGCGCTATTTTGAAATAGCCCTATTGTGAAATAACAGACGCTGTTAAGACGTAGTTATTTCGAGAAAACACCCTTCTCTCGAAATATCCCTTATTCCTCATATGAGGTTTACCAGTTATTTCGAGAGAAGGGTTTTCTCTCAAAATAACCGTGTTCTAACAGCGTCTATTATTTCGAAATAGCGCAAATATGCAAATGAAGCATAGGATATTTAAATCCCGGCTTCATTTGTGATTCCAAATGTCTTCATTTGCATTGCTCTATTGAAAGAGCGCAAGTATAAACATACCCCTAGTCACCAGAATGAAAGCCCAACATCTCAGATGAGACTGTCATTCTTCTGAACAAAAGGAGACCAACATGCACCCCAAAGATGAGAGATCAGGGGATGTTTGGACAGCAGAATAGGATCACCCTCTAGGGATCATTCATATATTACAATTATCAGAGTTAAGGAAAAGAAGAATCCCCTGTAGTTGGGTACACAGTAGCACTGACAGGCCCAGTTGCTGCAAGATTGGAGTATAGGAAGCTCCATAGTAGCAGATTAAAGCATAATACCAACCTCCATGCTAGAGTTAAAGGCTCGATTTACTTTGGCTTTGATGTTAACAACTTGCCCAACACTGGAAAAAAAAATACAATGTAGTGTCAACAGAAAATGCCAATAATCTTTGCTAGAGACACAAAACACAGATTGGAAAGCAACACACCGCTACCCCGGATAAGCGCCTTTCACAAGGTGACTAGTAGGAGCAGCACTGCAGATACCTCCCTCTACTGATATCAAATGCAACTCAGAGCTGCCATTATATTAGCTTTAAACTAGCTATACAAATATGTGCACTCACACAAACACTCCCATCCAACCTAAAGAAAAATCAGACCAATCCTTGTTCAGAGAATTGCATTCATCGATTTGTGATACTGACCAACACCAGCTAGACTTGCCAACTAAATGGGTAATAAAACTGAGAAAATTCCCCTATCTCCTTTTAAAAAAAATATATTAAAAATTAGATGCAAAAACAATATTAATGCTACTGCATCACTGCATAGGTAAGCCCTGAAAAATAAGGAATTGTGAAAATAAAATTTCAGCGCAAAACTATAGCTCCTAACTTGCCCAACTGCAAAACAGGTAAGTATTTTACTGAGGTTTTTCATTCAGCTCTAAACAGTCAATTAAGTCTATACTCAGCACTTAGAACAATTGATTCCCATACACCCCTCTTGAGCAACTAGCCTATTAAAAGTCACAATCAACTTGAAATCTATTCCGTTTTTTAAAAGTTGGATTCAATGTACTTTCAGATCCTGTATCAGCCACAAAGCCCCCAAACTAGTAAAGATGCATTTACAATCCCCATTTTCTTGTTTTTCAAAATATTTTGGTCCTCCAGGTGAAAGACACATGGGAACTGATGGACCGATTCTATAGGAAAAACAAGGAAACTGACCAAACAAGATTCAAAAGTAGATAAATATTTTATTCCCATTTGATCGGTTTCAGTTTTAACCATCTTAGGTGCAACATGTAAGCAGCAGCATGTAATCGGCATTATTGGAAAACAGTCATGGCACTCTTGTATAACTCAGTGTTGCTATGTCAGTTGGCTCTAATAAAGATAAACAATTTGCAAAAATCTAGTAGATGTCACTAGGATTCCTTTTGCAATCACCGCAACAAACCTGCAAGTATGGAAGTGGATGTAATGTAAAGCTTTAGTGAAATTCCATTCCAGCTGGGTGGGACTCATGCCATAGTATATGCCAAAAACCACATACCTTGATGCTCGATCCTACAAGACACAGAACACCCTAGATTTTGGGAGCTGCCTTGAGAGTCTGAAGGCAATCAGCTGCTCACAGAGATGAGCTCCTGGTCTGAGAGAAGAAGCTGCATGTTGTGTTTTCTAGAAGCCAGAGCAGTGAATGGCCAAGCTAACGCAACATTTTACATGCAAAAGCTCTCACAGTCAATCACCCCTCTTTGGGAATGTCCACTCTTCTTGGTTCCACTGGAGATTGACTTGGTGTTGGCATAAAAGTTCTCTCTGATTACAGAAATACGCAGTGTTTAAGAGAAGTCAGTAGGTATGGTACTGAACACTGATGTCAATCAGGTTAATGCTACAGTTTCATGCCACCACTAGGTTAGGCCAGCAACTAACCCTAATCTACTGCTTTAGCTTTCTAGATTGCAAAATATTCATACCAGACTTCGTTCTTGCCATGCAGCTGCCAGGGAGGCATTATTTGAATCTGGCTGATACAAAAGAGAAGTAGGGTTTGGTAAAAGGGATGTGGTCCCATCTCTGGGTATTGTACATCAGCTACAGAACTCACTTCACCACATTTTAGGAATAACCTTTGATTTTGTTGGATTTGTGGATTATTTCTGTTGCTCTCACCGGGAACGCCGGGGGATCAGGATCCCAGTGCAATACGAGCTCTATAAACAGGGTAACCAGACAACAACCCTTGCCCCAGAAAGCTCACAATTTGTGTTTATAATAAGATGCATCAGGTGAATGGACTACGGCAGACCAAGAGAGAGGATGTGTGGGAGGAGACTAAGAAGAGGTGGTAAAACAGCGCAACATTCCCACTTTGCATGGCAGAAAGTGGGCTCAGATTGTCCCTTACCTAGCCTAGTGTTTACTGTTTATCCAATACTGTGCCCTTTTAGACATAGTTTTCATTTTCCTCACACTGATTTTTGCTGTAGATTGCATTGGAATGGACAGAACTGGAGTCAGGAAGTCAAAGCCTTAGCAGGACAGACCGCTGGCATTAGTCCCCACCCCTCCAAGAGCCCCATTAACCCCAACTAGGTTTCGTTTCTCTCCCTTCCTTGCACCTCATCCACCAATACAGAAATCAAGCTGACTGCTTTGTAATTCCCTGAGTTGTCCTTATTTCCCTTTGGATAGATAAGAAATGTTAAAAACAAGCGTCACAAATATCTGCAGGACATGGCGAGAGTGAAATAATTTGGATTTTTAAAGTTTATTCAAGAGTAAGTAGTTGAATCCAGAAGCTTGATTTGGTTACTGTAACTTTTTAAGAAGCCTCGGAGCAATATCTAAGACATACTGGTCATGGCATAATATTGATCAGCTGTTTACAGAACAAAGACCATACATTTCTTGCCAAGATATACAGGTGGCACATTAAAATGATGGCTTCTCAGTCTTCGGAGCACAGACAGAATGCAGAGGAATTGGTTTTCAAAATGAAATTGATTTATTTGATGAAAGAAAATGAAAAATTGCCAGGTGTTTAAGTTTAAAGCAAAGTCTATTAGTACAATTAGCAACAGGTTAGACTCCAAGAACACCAATCATTCCTTTTTAAAGTGTCTCACAAATTACCGTATCCCTTTATTAATTTGATTTTCACTTCTATGGGCTACCACCTTGGATTCCCTTTTGTGATTTCATCACAGATTTTCAAGTGAATGGAGAAGTGGTGAGAGAAGTCGAACTAACCACATGCGAGACAGAGCTCCTCTATTGAAAAGCTAGCAGCATGAAGAGAGGCTGCACCCACTTTTAGGAGCAACAGAGTTCTGTTTCTCATCCAGTCCGCTCGATCTGTCTCTGCTGTGACTTGAACAAGGATGAAATGGAACAAGACGCACAATTTGGTTTGCACAAGCCGCCTATCAGGATCCCAAAGTGGTAACTTTTATCACCACCAGTCCAGGAGAGATTTGAACTACTGCCCAAAAGGCCACAGCTACTCCCAATGCCTGAGTCATCCAGAGGTCATTTGTCTATATTTTACATACAGGCAGAGCAACAAAAGCCCAGTTGAGTGTCTGACATGAATGCTAATGCTCTGTCTGAGGGACTGCAACATGGAAAGAGTTTTGCCAAAGGATTTTTCATCAGGTCCATGACTGGGATGCCGGTCATTAACACTGTGCTTCTCCATCATTGTACTACCTGCTCTTCCAGATCCCTTTCAAGCAGAAGGGAGGAGTTTGATTTTGCTTGTAACCACTTAAGCGTCGCTGCTGAGCAGCCTGCTCCAGACACTGCAGAGTGCTGATGAGACACTTCAAGATGTCAAGGTTTGGTTTAGGAAACCATCCAAACAGGTAACTGAATGCTCATCCAGAGCTCTTAAGACACAGCAGCTGGCAGGTTGTCTCCCGAGGACAGGCTGGTGTGAAATTTCTGATGCTGTGCCTTCTGCTTCCTGGCTAGAGATACAGGCACCACCTCTCTACAGGCTAGAGATACAAGCACCACCTCTCCTCTGCCCTTCCTGGCTCTGACCGGGACAAGAATCAGAAGTACAGAGATATGGCAAAAAAGGATGGAGTGCGCTGAAAATGCAATCACCCAAAATAAGCTTCCAGTAAGGTCTAGACTGAGGTTTGGGTCAAGAGTCAGGGGAGCTCTGTGATCTCTATCAGTTTTCTCAGCAAGGGATAGTCCTTTAGCTGTTAATGCACCATCAGGATTAGCCTAGGAGGTCTGACGGGTCAGAAAGTGCATGACTTCTGGATGCAACCACTACCGTTAGGAGCCATAAGGATGGTTTAGAACTGTACCTGTGTCAGTGGAGCCAGCCACCTGTAATGGCCAATAGTTCCGTGCGCCTAAACTGAAGGGTTTGGCTACCTCAACTGTGATAGTAGCTCCTAGTTAGCTCCATGGGAGTCAGAGGAAAGGAAGATCTGCAATGAATTCACTGACCTTTTTAAATGGTAAAGGAGACTGGAGGACATTAAGGTATCTTGTCTCTATAGGTCTCAAACCTACTGATGGACAAATAATGGCCCAAGCTATTGGACTGTGTACGGCCCTTTAATAGTGCCATGTCTGCAAGTCACAGGTAGAATTAAAGGCAGGATTACCATCTCTAGGGAAATGGCATCTTGGCAAAGTTCAGAAACTTCATAGGATCAGAAGTTCTACATTCACTTCTTCACAGAGCTACAGACAGCTCTCACCATAGGAGGCATTAGATTTTGTAGGCCAGCAAGATACGTCGACATGCAGTGCAGTACAGTATTTTATTCAACAAAACTTATTGGGAAAAGGAAGGATTTTACAGCAAGGTCTTCACTTCTGGCTGCACATTAGATTACAACATTACCACACGCCATTACACAGCTTCCGTGTTCCACCCCAGAGCTGGCTGCATTTCAGGTGTGGGTGAAGCAATGATCCCTATCCTTGCCTACTCTTCCCAGGATGGTGTTAGGGTTAGTTAATGGTAGTAAATGGATTGGAGATCCTTGAAAGAGAAGGTGCTACAGTGGCATTTACAGACAGACTGATCTTCTGGGCTATAAACATTATTTCTATACCATAAAACATAGAAACGCCCATCCTCAGGGTGGCAAGGCTCAAAGCTGGAGTCAAGAGACTTGAGCTCAGTGCGATCAGGCTAAAAATATCCATGTCATCCCTGTGAGAAGCAGGGAGCCCCGGTGGGAACAGCTATTTTTTGCTCCATAGCACAAACCTGGGTCTGTTCAACTGGCTCCAAGACGCACTGGCACAATTACGGAGGGAGTTTTTGGCAGCATAGAGAGACCCTACATCAAAGAGGGCTGCTTGAATGAAGAAGAGAGGAGCTGGATTATGAGGGAACACCAGGAGGATAACCAAAGCAAAAAGCCTCCCAAATGAACTAAACATCAATATTATTAGAGAAGTAATATGAGGCTGTTCACTGCCAGGTCCCAGGGGGATTCTAGCCCTTAACATGTAGGTATTCTGCAGGGTCCATCTCGGATCCTGGGTTCAGAGCCACTGTGGCTTACATTCCCTCTGGACTGGGTTGGGGGAGGGATGACATTTATCCAGAATAGAAGGGATCATTAACATTGCATACAGACTCTAAATCTTCAATATTTGCTGCATGCCAGAGAAGAATTTTTTTTTCAAAGCCAGGGAAACTGCAAGAGAGGAAAAAGGCATTTACCTAATCGTGTGCTCAAAATAGATATCATCCACAGAAGCCGTGACGCAGGGGCAGCCAGCATGTCTCTCAGCTGAAAAAGAGAACAAAACGGCACCAGTTACCGTCATGCAATCAGTGCACCCAATAACTGGACTTTTTCTGGTCTTGCAACTCAAGTTGCAGACTTGGAACAGACATAAGCAACCCTGATCTCTGCAGATACACACTGTCCATTGCATGTAGGACACAAGATTCCCTTTGTGTTGAGGGTCAGCACAGGTTACACTGAGAAAATGCCCATTGCTATGTCCCTTAATCAAAGGCTTTATGTGTTTAACAATGACCAGCAGACAGATTACTTGTCTGATCTTTCCAGTCACACAGGCATACTACTCCCAGTACGCTAACTGAGCAAATCAATGGAGCAGTTTTCTTCGTAGGTTTCCCCCCAAAATCTGTCAAACATATATTGCAACAGTTAAACCAATTGGACATTCTACTAAGTAGAGATAGAATTTTAAAACATGATCTAATTTATCAGCGTGTCCTCAAGTCTCCCTTCACATTCATGTCTGTTACTAGGATGTATATTTATCTTATGAACAATTGGTGGGTAGTTTATATTTTCAAGGCCTCCTAGCTATACACTGAAAACTTTCTCCTTATCTCCTGTGGCTAGGAGATCTCTAAGAGCGTGGGTTTGATAAATACTAATATCTACCTCTTATATGGTGCTTTTCATCAACAGACCTCAAAGAGCTTCACAAGCTTTAATGCATTTTGCATGTAGCTTCACAACACAGGGAAGTGCTGTTGTCCCCATTTTCACAGACGGGGAACTGAAGCATGGATAGATTAAGTGACTTGCCTAAGGTCACACAGAAAGTCTGTGGCAGAACCTGGAGTCCCAAATCCTACTTTAACCACAGGCCTATCTTCCTGCTACAGATTTCTTGAAAGTGCAATCCCCAAACTGGAAACCCAGCTGAACAGCATCACTTATCAAGCTCTTGCCAACATTTTATTTAAAATGTTTACAACTGTATTTGATAATGGAGTTGGAGCTAGAAGCTGTGCTGTGTGTAACCAACAGGTAACTCGGGAAGCATGGTACTGCAAGACAAGTACTGAGACAGCCTCGCAAGAACTGCATTGTGACCACACCTACTGCAGGACATTGTCCCTGTAATAGTCCTGTGGGCCAGCTGTCTGCAGTGGTCTCTCTCCAGGTACACAGGGAGACAATATCATTTCAGAAAATGCGACACTGCCATGGCTAAGAGAGGGTTCTCTAATCTTTTTTTTTCCATGGGCGGTGAGTTATATGGGCTCATGATGCCCATGCTCCAGTAATATTCAGAGCCAGGGACCCTGCTCCACCAATATTTGGAGCTGGGTCTCTCCACCGGCTCTGCCTGGAGCGGGGCCCGGCCCCCACTTGCCG